CGAGCACCTATGAAGGCCGGAACGGTACACGAGGGGGTGGGTGGCCAACACCACGCCCGGCCGCCTTTGTCTCCCTAGTGGCAATGTTTACACACCGCACCAGGTACTCATTTGAGGCTGAGTCGACCTAGGGGAGGCCCGGGACCGGTTCAGATAATCGTCACTGGTGTTGGCCGTGAGCGGGAATCGAACCCGTGTCGCCGGGTTCATAGCGCAGCGCGCTAACCGCTACACTACCGCTCCCCCTACACAAACACACACGCAAACACACACACAAACACACACAAAAAAACACACAAACACACACACAAACACACACAGAAACACATAAACACACACACCGCTGCCAATGACCCACCTCAGGCGCAATGCGCCCGACTCTCGTCAGACCTTGTAAGCTCAGCAGGGCTTAGCCTGGCTAGCGCTCGCACGGGCGACACGCCACGTGGGAGAAGCCGCAGCAACACCCACTGTTGTACTGCACTACGCGCCCACGTGACCCGCCCGCTATCACGCGCGGCGCAGGGGATGGGGGTGGGGGGGAATCGTCATCCAGCGGTGGATTGCAAAAGGGTTTGCGTGTGCGCACAGAGAACGTGTGTGTGCAGTGTGCGCATATTGAACTTCTTTCGTGCCGTACGTAGCCAACCGCACTAGTCGGGTAACGTATAGCAGTGTGCTCCACACAGCAGCCGCATCGCAGACCGGCGGAATGAGAAGATCGTGGGAGAGCAGAGAGAGAGGCAGGGGAGGTGGTCGGAGGAAAGTTGGAGATATGTGAGCGGTAGGGGAGCTGGTAGGAGCAGCCAGGCGAGAGTAAGGGGAGTAGGAGGTAGGGGAGGAGAAAGATGATACCGGACAATATAGAAGCGTTGAAAGGAAATCGAGATGGTGGTGTGATAATGAGAAGATGAACTGCTGGGCTTAACTTCAGTCGGCTCTGTCCGGCATATATTATGCGAGGACCCGGCACACCACATCCATACTGCCTCTGCTGCAAGTCACGTGGTGTGAACTACACCAGTTTGGGTGGGTTTTTTTTTCCCTCCAGCGATCCGAATTTTTGTCAGGGTTAGATTCTAAGACCTCGATTACAAGGATGTGAGACACCGGGCGAGATGAGAGATAAGGGCACGGGAGAGATCAATGATATGGAGAGAAGAATAAATATTTATTTATTTAACGGACAGCGATGACGTCAGCGAGGATCAGGGGATGCCAGTGTGTGGGTGAAGGCAAAGGCGCAGCGCTGCGACTTCCTGCCCACGGCACTGCCGGAGGGAGGGGCCTCCACCAGAGGGGGCTGATGGAGAGCCACGCCTCTCGGAGGGCGACTGACGTTGGACATTTTATTCTTCCACGCTAGAAGAGGATTGGGAGTAGCCACACTCTGCACCCTGCACGCAAGCCCCGCAGATGGTGAATGCGGTGCACCCCTTGCAAGTCGCTGGGTGAACGTGAGGCGGTGGTGGTGGTGGTGATGGTGGTGGTGATGGTGGTGATGGTGGTGGGGAAGGTGGTGGTGATGGTGGTGGTGGTGATGGTGGTGGTGGGATGGCAATGAGGTGGATTTAAGAAACCTGAAGGTTGTTTATATTATTTTAAACTGCTGCACTGGGAGATAGAATAGGCGACCTCCGGATCTAGGAGATGTTGACTTCCTCGCCTGGTGTACAGGAGGGCGTGGGTTCGATCCCGACCCTGACGCCTGCTGTAGATTTGGAGTTTACGTGTCTCTCTCTCTCATCGTCATCATCATCACGGTGGTTAGGACATGTTAACTACCTCGCCTGGTGTACAGGATGTCGTGGGTTCCATCCCCCATCCTGACGCCTGCTGTTTGCATGTCTCTCTCTCCCCGTGGTCGCGTGGATTTTCTCAGGGTTGTTCGGTTACCCCCCCCCCTCCACATTTAGAAACACACGTTGAGATAATTTCACTATTATAAATGTCCACATTTAAATGTCCACATTATTTGGCTGTTCCTGCCACATGTTCACGGCAGAGGGGGGTGGCGTTGTTGCAGCTGCGGTGTGATGCAAATGGACTGCTGTAATGTGCAGTTGAATCTCGCAGCTCAACTTCGCTTGAGCGTTCATGCGTGGCCGGGTCGCTTCTGAAAAATAGCTACAAAGCTCCATTGGGCCTTGACCTGGTACAATAGAAAATGGTTTAGCTGAGAAAGTCCAGTGTACTGCTGACCATTATCGCCGCGGCGGACGATAATCTGCCGAATGGGAGACGAGGGAGGGAGATCAGCTCACGGGATAGATGGAGACACGGGGGCGGAAGGGGACGTAATTGAGGTCAATATGAGACGATATCTCAAGGGAAGTCGGCGAGAGGGTTACGTTGACAAGGCAATGCCCAGAGGCGACACGAGGGGGAGATCGTTATCGCTACGCTGGCTCAGCCACGATCAACGCACTCGAGTCTCAGAACCCCTCCCTATTCTGGAAGATTCCTGCCAAATGTTCACCGCAGAGGGCGGGGGGGGGGGCGACGCTGCTAGCTGCTGCTGCGGCTGCTGCGCAAACCAAATCGACTACCGTCATGTGCAGTTTCATTTCGCAGCATTGCGATGGATTGAGACCGATGAGAGTGGACGTTGTGTAAGGTTTGCTTCACCTATCGGAGGACCCCCATGCAGAACAGGGGGAGAGAGGACACAGTTTGCTGTCCGTGCACACGCACCTCCGATTAGCACGGTCGGCTACGTACGGTGCGAAAGAAGCCCAACATACGCAGATGCATCCAAGCGCCTTACAGAAAGGAGACCGAGTCGGGAATTGAACTCAGCATCCTTGCCGCTGTGAGGTGCGCTGAAGAGGGAGATGACGTCACGAGGGAGATGATGCTAGCTTTAGAGAAGATGACGTCACGAGGGAGATGATGCTGGCTTTAGAGAAGATGACGTCACGAGGGAGATTATGCTGGCTTTAGAGAAGATGACGTCACGAGGGAGATGATGCTGGCTTTAGAGAAGATGGCGTCACGAGGGAGATGATACTAGCTTTAGAGAAGATGGCGTCACGAGGGAGATGATGCTGTCTTTAGAGAAGATGATGTCAAGAGGGAGATGATGCTGGCTTTAGAGAAGATGACGTCACGAGGGAGATGATGCTGGTTTTAGAGAAGATGACGTCACGAGGAAGATGATGCTGGCTTTAGAAAAGATGACGTCACGAGGGAGATGATGCTGCTTTAGAGAAGATGACGTCACGAGGGAGATGATTCTGGCTTTAGAGAAGATGTAAAACGACAATTGATGATGGAAAGAGATTGAGATGACGGCAATGAAAGATGATGTAGATGATGGCAGAAAATGATGTAAAAGAGAGAATCAGAATCGGAATGTATTTAGCCTGGAGGAGTCCGATAGATGTGCAGTCGGAGGCACGGGGTCAGAGCGTTAGAACAGCAAAAATAAAAAAAAAACATCGGAGTGCAAAGTACAGGACAGGTAAAGCAAACCACGCAAAAAAAAACATGCAAATAAACTCAACTATTTATTTTACTTCGGTAAAGCCCAACCGAGCTATTCGCCACACACGGCAGGGCCGCGGAGGCCTCAGCGGACCAGTGAAGACGTTTAGAGGTCGTCTCAAGGAGGCGACGTCGCCGGTGGCGGCAAGATCAGTGCGGCGACGTGCGTCTCGAGACGACTTCGAGAGAGAGAGAGAAACCCCGCGTCTCGAGACGGCCTCAACAGAGAGACGATGACGACGACGATGATGATGAACTACGATGGCACGAGAGTGATAATGGCAGGTTCAGTGACGTGTGATGGGAATTGACAGATGATGGTGCTGATGATGATGGTGCTGATGATAATGGTGCTGGTGCTGATGATGATGGTGCTGATGATGATGCTGATGATGATGGTGCTGATGATGATGGTGCTGATGATGGTGGTGCTGATGATGATGGTGCTGATGATGATGGTGCTGATGATGGTGCTGATGACGATGGTGCTGATGATGATGATGGTGCTGATGATGATGATGGTGCTGATGATGGTGCTGATGATGATGGTGCTGTTGATGATTGCGGGTGTTGACATTGTGGGAGACGAAGACACAATCCCGATGATCGTGACGAGGAAAGAGGTGACGTTAGCTTTAGTGAAAAGATACCAAATCATGACGATGCTGATCAAATCGAACAGCGGACGACGAATATTTTGATGATGATGATGATTAGAGAGATTTTGAAGATTTGAGATTCCAAAAACAATCTGACACGATCACGATGACGTTGAAATTGTATCTCGAGTTTGCAGTCGAGAAGTAATAAAATAATAAAAAATTAAACATAATAAGATAAAATTCTCACGACGTTTCGGCCACAACGCAAGCAGCCGTCCTCAGGCGAAGAACAGGGCTGTTGGAAAGACAACGTCCTAATGTTCTGTTCTTCACCTGAAGACGGCTACGTCGTGAGAATTTTATCTTATGTAAAATGTTTTATTATTTTATTATTTTCCTTCTACGCGACTTTACCGAAAGAACCAAGAAGATGAATCCCTGCAGTCACGAAAGCTTTAAATCGAAATTTAGTCGACAAGTACTTTCGATCACGACGTTATTGACCAATAGCTGATGACCGATTGTCAGATCCCCGACAACGATTCATGACGCAACGTCGAGACGAATGGGCGCGTGGCGCTGAAGTCATCGGCCGGCAAACACGGGGGAGGGGGGGGGGGAGCCGGCGGACATCACAGACGACGGTGGCGATGGTTGCGCGTGTTGAGATCATGTATCACCGACGTCCACGCGACCGTGACGATGTCACAAGTGCGGGGGACCTGTGACATCGCCTCGGGCGACGACGACTCGAAAGGAACCATCGCGATGAAGGCGATGGCGACGACGATAATCATCTCGTCAAAGGGAAGACGACGTGAATTAAAGATGTTGAGACGATGGGAGAGGGGTGGTGGGGGTGGGGGCGAGGAGAGGGTGGGGGGGATGGAGGGGAGGGGGGCTGACCCTCACCCCAGCTTGTCCCCGTCCTTCCCATGAATTGTCGAGTTCGCGGGTTCCAGATGAACTCCTTGCATCCGCCGCTGCTCTCTTCTTGCTTCTTGTCGTCCATAGCTGCCGCCTCTGCTCAGCTGATTCGCGAGCAACGAGTGAACGAGCGAGTGTTAGTCACTCGGCGGTATTACTGCACAGACGAGCGCTGGGGAACGAGTGGGGGGGGGGGGTGATGATGATTGGTAGCGTTGGAGCCCCGCGGTGGCGACTTATTCGTGGCGATTGTTGAATGATGATTAATCGGAGTGACCGCGGGCACCGGCCGCTGACCGGCTGACTGACTGACGCGCTCGTCGCTGATGCAGGAGATTAGACTCGACGGTAGGTGAGAGAGAGAGGGAGAAAAAAATAGATTTTAGTTTTTTCTAAAATAAATATATATAGCTCTGCAATTATCGTTGTTCGATCACGCGGTGGAAAATCGAGACGGGTCTCTGGTCGCCTTTAGCCCAATTATTCGATTAACGCGATTTTCACTTTCACGACGATCTGGGTGGCGGTCGGGGTCGGGGGCTGCTGAGCCCGGGCGGTGTCGGCGTGCAGGTCGCAGGAGGAGGGGGGGCGGGGGGGGCGAGCAGCAGCAGCAGGAGCAGCACGAGCAGCAGCAGGAGACGGAGCGAGCGGCTGAGACGGAGCGAGCGGGAGCCGCGCGGAGTGTGCGGGGAGAGCGCCGGGAACGCGCCTTTATAGCGGGGGGGGGGGGGGGGCGCGTGGGGGGGGCGGCGGGGGGGAGGGCACCTGGGGGGGGCGCGGGGTGGGGGGAGAGGGGGGACGCGTGAGGGGGGGGCGCGTGGGGGGGGCGGCGGGGGGGAGGGTACCTGGGGGGGGCGCGTGGGGGGGGGGGCGCGGGGTGGGGGGGAGAGGGAGCGGCGGGGGGGGACGTGGGGGATGACGCGGGGTGGGGGGAGCGGGGGCGGTGGGGGACGTGGGGGGGGGGGCGCGGAGTGGGGGGAGAGGGGGGGGACGTGGGGGATTGTGTACCATGTATCGGGTGGGGGTCCGTGGGGCGAGAGGGGCGGGTGGTAGAGGGGGTGGGGGTGATGGGGGATGACGCGCATGCGCACTAATGGCCAGGATGCGCACGCACGCAAGAATCCACGCACAGAGACAAAGGTCCTCCCCGTAGGGGTATAGCCTTGAGTAGCCTTGAGGGGCAAGTGCTGTTAGCCAGCACATATTTCAGGCTGGAAATGCGCACGAGTGGGTGGTGTGGTCATAGCCACGCTCGGCCGTCTTTGTCTCCCCGTCGCTCATATATATCGTACACAAGGGCACGAGGTACCCTTCATGAGGGCTTAGCACCGGTTCAGATATACACGTGCCACTGATGTTAGCCGTGCACTCGACACAAGTCCCTAGCGCAGTGCGCTAACGTCTGCGCCACCACTCCCAACACAAATGCTCACCGCTATACAGCATTGTGATTCACAGCGTTCTGACAATCACAACACAAGGTATGCATTTAAGATTGAGCCGACGACCCAGCAGAGGCACAGCACCGCCACTGATGTTAGCCGTGGCCGGGATAAGGAAATCAGTGGGGCGGGTTCGTTCGTGCGCTAACCACTGCGCCACCGCTCCTCACGCCCCTTCGTACGTATACGGCGTGTGTGCGAGTCTGTGGGTGTCTTGTGTGAGTCTGTGGGTCTCTGTGTGAGTCTGTGGGTCTCTGTGTGAGTCTGTGGGTCTCTGTGTGAGTCTGTGGGTCTGTTGTGTGAGTCTGTGGGTCTGTTGTGTGAGTCTGTGGGTCTCTGTGTGAGTCTGTGGGTCTCTGTGTGAGACTATGGGTCCCTGTGTGAGTCTGTGGGTCTCTATGTGTGTCTGCGGTTCTCTGTGTGAGTCTGTGGGTCTCTGTGTGAGTCTGGGTCTCTGTGTGAGTCTGTGGGTCTCTGTGTGAGTCTGTGGGTCTCTGTGTGAGTCTGCGGGTCTCTGTGTGAGTCTGTGGGTCTCTGTGCGAGTCTGTGGGTCTCTGTGTGAGTCTGTGGGTCTCTGTGTGAGTCTGTGGGTCCCTGTGCGAGTCTGTGGGTGTCTTGTGTAAGTCTGTGGGTCTCTGTGTGAGTCTGTGGGTCTCTGTGTGAGTCTGTGGGTGTCTTGTGTAAGTCTGTGGGTCTCTGTGTAAGTCTGTGGGTCTCTGTGTGAGTCTGTGGGTCCTTGTGTGAGTCTGTGGGTCCTTGTGTGAGTCTGTGGGTCCTTGTGTGAGTCTGGGTCTCTGTGTAAGTCTGTGGGTCCTTGTGTGAGTCTGTGGGTCTCTGTGTGAGTCTGTGGGTCTCTCTCTGTGTGAGTCTGTGGGTCTCTGTGTGAGTCTGTGGGTCTCTGTGTGAGTATGTGGGTCTCTGTGTGAGTCTGTGGGTCTATGTGCGAGTCTGTGGGTCTCTGTGTGAGTCTGTGGGTCTATGTGCGAGTCTGTGGGTGTCTTGTGTAAGTCTGTGGGTCTCTGTGTAAGTCTGTGGGTCTCTGTGTGAGTCTGTGGGTCTCTCTCTGTGTGAGTCTGTGGGTCTCTGTGTGAGTCTGTGGGTCTCTGTGTGAGTCTGTGGGTCCTTGTGTGAGTCTGTGGGTCCCTGTGTGAGTCTGTGGGTCCCTGTGTGAGTCTGTGGGTCTCTGTGTGAGTCTGTGAGTCCTTGTGTGAGTCTGTGGGTCTCTGTGTGAGTCTGTGGGTCTCTGTGTGAGTCTGCGGGTCTCTGTGTGAATCTGTGGGTCCCTGTGTGAGTCTGTGGGTCTCTGTGTGAGTCTGTGGGTCTCTGTGTGAGTCTGTGGGTCGCTGTGTGAGTCTGTGGGTCCCTGTGCGAGTCTGTGGGTGTCTTGTGTGAGTCTGTGGGTCTCTGTGTGAGTCTGTGGGTCTGTTGTATGGGTATGTGGGTCTCTGTGTGAGTCTGTGGGGTCTCTGTGTGAGTCTGTGGGTCTCTGTGTGAGTCTGTGGGTCCCTGTGTGAGTCTGTGGGTCTCTGTGTGAATATGTGGGTCTCTGTGTGAGTCTGTGGGTCTCTGTGTGAGTCTGTGGGTCTCTGTGTAAGTCTGTGGGTCCTTGTGTGAGTCTGTGGGTCTCTGTGTGAGTCTGTGGGTCTCTCTCTGTGTGAGTCTGTGGGTCTCTGTGTGAGTCTGTGGGTCTCTGTGTGAGTCTGTGGGTCCTTGTGTGAGTCTGTGGGTCTCTGTGTGAGTCTGTGGGTCTCTGTGTGAGTCTGTGGGTCGCTGTGTGAGTCTGTGGGTCTCTGTGTGAGTCTGTGGGTCCCTGTGTGAGTCTGTGGGTCTCTGTGTGAGTCTGTGGGTCCCTGTGTGAGTATGTGGGTCTATGTGTGAGTCTGTGGGTCTCTGTGTGAGTATGTGGGTCTCTGTGTGAGTATGTGGGTCTCTGTGTGAGTCCGTGGGTCTTGTGTGAGTCTGTGGGTCTATGTGTGAGTCTGTGGGTCTCTGTGTGAGTCTCGTGGGTCTCTGTGTGAGTCTGTGGGTCTATGTGCGAGTCTGTGGGTGTCTTGTGTAAGTCTGTGGGTCTCTGTGTAAGTCTGTGGGTCTCTGTGTGAGTCTGTGGGTCTCTCTCTGTGTGAGTCTGTGGGTCTCTGTGTGAGTCTGTGGGTCTCTGTGTGAGTCTGTGGGTCCTTGTGTGAGTCTGTGGGTCCCTGTGTGAGTCTGTGGGTCCCTGTGTGAGTCTGTGGGTCTCTGTGTGAGTCTGTGGGTCCTTGTGTGAGTCTGTGGGTCTCTGTGTGAGTCTGTGGGTGTCTGTGTGAATCTGTGGGTCCCTGTGTGAGTCTGTGGGTCTCTGTGTGAGTCTGTGGGTCTCTGTGTGAGTCTGTGGGTCGCTGTGTGAGTCTGTGGGTCCCTGTGCGAGTCTGTGGGTGTCTTGTGTGAGTCTGTGGGTCTCTGTGTGAGTCTGTGGGTCTGTTGTATGGGTATGTGGGTCTCTGTGTGAGTCTGTGGGGTCTCTGTGTGAGTCTGTGGGTCTCTGTGTGAGTCTGTGGGTCCCTGTGTGAGTCTGTGGGTCTCTGTGTGAGTCTGTGGGTCCCTGTGTGAGTATGTGGGTCTATGTGTGAGTCTGTGGGTCTCTGTGTGAGTCTGTGGGTCTCTGTGTGAGTATGTGGGTCTCTGTGTGAGTCTGTGGGTCTCTGTGTGAGTCTGTGGGTCTCTGTGTGAGTCTGGGTCTCTGTGTGAGTCTGTGGGTCTCTGTGTGAGTCTGTGGGTCTCTGTGTGAGTCTGCGGGTCCCTGTGTGAGTCTGTGGGTCTCTGTGTGAGTCTGTGGGTCCTTGTGTGAGTCTGTGGGTCTCTGTGTGAGTCTGTGGGTCTCTGTGTGAGTCTGCGGGTCTCTGTGTGAATCTGTGGGTCCCTGTGTGAGTCTGTGGGTCTCTGTGTGAGTCTGTGGGTCTCTGTGTGAGTCTGTGGGTCGCTGTGTGAGTCTGTGGGTCCCTGTGCGAGTCTGTGGGTGTCTTGTGTGAGTCTGTGGGTCTCTGTGTGAGTCTGTGGGTCTGTTGTATGGGTATGTGGGTCTCTGTGTGAGTCTGTGGGGTCTCTGTGTGAGTCTGTGGGTCTCTGTGTGAGTCTGTGGGTCCCTGTGTGAGTCTGTGGGTCTCTGTGTGAGTCTGTGGGTCCCTGTGTGAGTATGTGGGTCTATGTGTGAGTCTGTGGGTCTCTGTGTGAGTCTGTGGGTCTCTGTGTGAGTATGTGGGTCTCTGTGTGAGTCTGTGGGTCTCTGTGTGAGTCTGTGGGTCTCTGTGTGAGTCTGGGTCCCTGTGTGAGTCTGTGGGTCTCTGTGTGAGTCTGTGGGTCCCTGTGTGAGTATGTGGGTCTATGTGTGAGTCTGTGGGTCTCTGTGTGAATCTGGGTCTCTGTGTGAGTCTGCGGGTCTCTGTGTGAGTCTGTGGGTCTCTGTGTGAGTCTGTGGGTCTCTGTGTGAGTCTGGGTCTCTGTGTGAGTCTGTGGGTCTCTGTGTGAGTCTGTGGGTCTCTGTGTGAGTCTGCGGGTCTCTGTGTGAGTCTGTGGGTCTCTGTGCGAGTCTGTGGGTCCTTGTGTGAGTCTGTGGGTCTCTGTGTGAGTCTGTGGGTCTCTGTGTGAGTCTGCGGGTCTCTGTGTGAATCTGTGGGTCCCTGTGTGAGTCTGTGGGTCTCTGTGTGAGTCTGTGGGTCTCTGTGTGAGTCTGCGGGTCTCTGTGTGAGTCTGCGGGTCTCTGTGTGAGTCTGTGGATCTCTGTGTGAGTCTGTGGGTCTCTGTGTGAGTCTGTGGGTCTGTTGTATGGGTATGTGGGTCTCTGTGTGAGTCTGTGGGGTCTCTGTGTGAGTCTGTGGGTCTCTGTGTGAGTCTGTGGGTCCCTGTGTGAGTCTGTGGGTCTCTGTGTGAGTCTGTGGGTCCCTGTGTGAGTATGTGGGTCTATGTGTGAGTCTGTGGGTCTCTGTGTGAGTCTGTGGGTCTCTGTGTGAGTATGTGGGTCTCTGTGTGAGTCTGTGGGTCTCTGTGTGAGTCTGTGGGTCTCTGTGTGAGTTTGGGTCTCTGTGTGAGTCTGTGGGTCTCTGTGTGAGTCTGTGGGTCTCTGTGTGAGTCTGCGGGTCTCTGTGTGAGTCTGTGGGTCTCTGTGTGAGTC